TATATATATATATAATTCTGTTTCACTTTGACAGTCTTTTACCAGCCTTTATAAAAATTTGTTTGCAGCTAAGATTTAGTTTAATAATACGTTTGTCATTTTCCCCACCAATATAAGACTTTTATATGGATAAATGATATAAACACAAAAGAGATGTCTACATTTTTAGTCAGTTATATTTAATTTAAAATCATAAATGACTAATAAAAACAACCGTGGACACAGAAACCACAGAGATGTTTGTGTTTTATCCCTTTAAATTTTCTGTCATCTKATTTTAATTAACTCGTCTGAACCTTGACTCAAATGCTTACATTTCTGAAGTTTTAATTTAATTAAATTTTGTTTTTAATTAATTCTCTACAATAACAAGCTGACATTATAACGGATCAGTTSTTTTTGCTGCCTCAACTGTAGGACTGCAAAGATAAAACAATCTGGATTTTATCTCTCAGCTCCCGCAGAGATGTTTCCTTCTCTCGTGTCTTAATGATTCAGGAAATAGTAACAGAAGGTCAAACTTAAGTTTGTGTGTCTCCTTGTTACATTTCCCTAAAGTACTAATGGCAACACAACTATCTGGGTGTAATGTACTGGAATGATTTTTACACCGTCACCCCTCTTTGCTGTGAATCCCAGCGGTCCCGGCTCTGTCATCGGCCTTCGGCATATGTGCAGCGACAGCACTGGAATGTCTGGGAATGCGCCTTTTATAGATGCACTGGGTCGACAACTTTTGCTGCAAGGATGGGGACGGCTTGTTGTTTTCAGACTCGGCATGTAAGAGGATTTCAGAATTTGGCTATTTAAAAAGCCGGTGTCTCTTCGAAACAGACTACAGACCCATTTCATTTGTGCATCACAATAGGAGGGRGATTAAAATAAGGCCGTGTTTTGCTTCCCGACGAGTGCTGAGATTATTTTAGTGAATCAGAAATATAGATTTATTTTCAGCCAACATCGTGTCACATGGGGGACAAAGCATTTTTGTTTGGCGGCTTTTATTCTAAGCTTGCATTAGCAATCAGGCACATATTGTCCGGTTAAATGACTGCAGCTAGTTTTTCCCACGGCCTACATTTTTTGGATTCATTTGGGAATTGATGAGAAAAGCTTTTAAAGTGTTAATATTATGGAACTGGTACACTTGTCTGTATTGTGGCCTGATGTAACCTGCATCCACAAATCCAGTTATTGTGAAACACAACCAAGAAGGAATTTGTGTTTCGAGGGGTAATGGACAAAACGGTGGTGACCTTTTGTTTTAGTACTTATCAGATATGGTGCAACAAAGCTGTTGCCGTTTTGCTTTTTTAGTAGATCTAACTAAACAAGTTCCTGTGACTCGTCTCCAAAGAGTCCAAAAGTTATAAGAAATGCTTTCAAAGCGTCCAGCGCGTGGATTTGTCAAGAGAAAGCCGTTGTTAAATGAAGTCGCCTCGTGTTTCACAGGATGTCCAGTCGCAGCTGTGGTAAAAATAGATSCTAATGTTCAGGGTGGGAAAGTCAGCAGCAGAGACGGAAACTGAGACCTGGGAGTCAGATCTCCTCAGTGTCCTCAGCCGTGTTTATCTGACCGGATCCTTTGGCAGGAGCCACGTTTCTCCGTTTTCTGACCGAGCATCGGCTTTAAACGAGCTCCCTTTTGTCTTTCTGCGCAGCACAGCTCAGGGTCACTCATCATGCTAATGACGCTGCTTTGAATAAATACCTCTGAGTGCACAARGCCTCGGGCAAACAGGCATGTCTTGTTATATTTTGGAGCTGCTCAGTGAATTGTTATTGTCTTACTTCTGTCCTCATTTGAAGCTCTTTGTAGCGTCCCCACCRAGAGGAGGAAGGCCTTCATTACTCAGCACGGGTGCTATTATTTGTACGCCTACCCGCCAATTACTGCATTTGGATGTAGCCTAGACAAAAGGAGGGTTGGGTGTAGGGTACCACTAGTAGTCAGGACAATACTAATTAATCCTAGGCTGTTTTAAACAGAAACGTTACGTACTAGCAATTTTCAGATTTTCCTAATTCACTGTTCCGCTCCACACTTCTCTCCCCGAAATTCACCCGTTCTCCACTTAATGTGGCCTTTCTGCTGCTCCAGTTTTGACAAAACCTGTGAAATGTGCCACTTGCCATTAAAGTCTGACATTTGTGAAATAACACTGATTGCTCTGAGCGGTTCACTCAAGCATTAAAATAAAGTAAATATCATGTGCTTGTGCCAGAGGGAAACCTCGACAGATGCAGCGTAAAGCTATTTTTTGGGCTTCTGTTTGATTCGTAAAACTTCTGTAAACATTCGTACAAATGTTCTACAAGTTTACACTTTCACCGAAACCAAGCAATTATGTTAAAATAAATATATTAAAAACATCTTTAATATATACTTTATGGAGTTGTGTGTTTTAGACAATGTTCTGTGACAGTAAATTGAATAAACGTCACTCTTTTTTTCATTGATCTTCGAACAGTTACTAATGTGCATTCATAAATTGGGTTCCTGATACTGTATCAATTCTCAAAAGCACTATATTGATTTTTAATTAAGGCTTAATGGATGGATGGATGTTGTAAGATAGGAATACATGGAATGCCATAACCAAGTGGCTGGAAAAGTGTACAGAAGCATATGTTCCGAGTATAACCTGGAGACCCCATAGTCAAAGTGGGAATCACCTCCCAAGGTGGTGGAGAATGACTGAGCTAAGATCCTGTGGGATTTTCAGATTCAAACAGACAAGATGGTATCGGCCAAGCAACCAGACATTGTCATCATTGAAAAGCAGCAGAGGATGGCCATCGATGAAAACATCAGGAAAAATGAACACAAGAAACTAAGGGCTCAGGAAAGAGCTAGAACGAGCCTGGCAGGTGAAGGCAGGTGCCCATGCTCATTGGGCACCTGCCTTCACTCATTGGAGCAGTGACCCCCACCCTGGAGAAGTGGCTCCAACAGATACCTGGAGAAACATCTGACATCTCAGTGGAGAAAAGTGCAGTCTTAGGAACGGGTAATATTGTGAAGAACCCTCAAGCTCCCAGGCCACAGGTGGAGTACACAAGTTTGGGATAAAGAGCCACCCACCCTGCCAGGGGGACGGGGGGTGGGTGAGAATATACATATTTTTTGTCTTYATCGTGACCCCTGTATCAGGATACGTATCATATCACCAAATCCTTTCCAATACACAGCCCTAGTTTAGACTAAATGTGGATCTATGTTTTAGTTAATAATTTAGTATTTGGCAAGTTTCTGTTGTCTCTATATCCTAATATTCATGGTATCAACCAMAAAYGTTGAAAGTGAATTACAAGTACTAAATAGTATTTTCATAATGCTGTATTGAAGCTATTGTTATAGCTAAAACTTGCTAGCATATAGCTACATCGCCCAGATAGACTTGTTGAGAAGAATACTCTTACCATGGAGGCATATTCCATTTGTCGGGGTGTGTGTATTAGCTGTGACTCAAACATTTTTAAAGTTTTTTTTTTGTCAATATGTCAAGCACCTATGTATATATTTTTTTATCACAATAGTTAAATTTTTAGAGCTATCCAAATATTTATCAAAGTATCCATCACAGAAGAACTGAATTTAATCCAAGGTCAGAATATTTTTATTTCAAAAGCCCTCTCTCTGTGGTCCACGTGTTCATTAAACCCAAGTGTTTTAGCCTCGGGCATCAGTCTCCTTAAATATAAAAAARGGAAGTAATTAATGAGACATTTTCACACTGAATCAGTTCCCAAGACTCCCACACTCCTGGTTTATCAGTCTAATCCACTGGTTATTAGGCAACATGCCCGGTTGATAATGTCTGCCGGTGGACATGCTTGTGTTTGCAATCAGGGTTACTCTGTTTTTAGCGTGTCGCTTCCKTTTCCTCCCACAGGCCACATCCCATCATCGCTTGGGGTAATCCTCCGGACCACAGACAAGATTGTTTGGGCGAATGAGTTTGAGCGTAAGTTGCAGGAGAATTACTCTAATCTGTTTAACCAAAATAACTTTTATTTTCCCGATCTGCACCACCGCTCTCTTTCTCTCATGGAGTCTTATTTTCTCCACAGCTGTAGAGCTGACCTGCCTGATAGAGTCCATCTCTACAAACAACCCACGGATAGAATGGAAGAAGATAAAAAATGGCATCCCCAGTTATGTCTACTTTCAGAACAAAATATCAGGTAAACCTCTGGGAAAGTCATTAAAATAGACATCACCCAGCAGCTTTCAACATTTCAGAGCAAAGTCTCAGAACACAAAACCCAGCTAGATGAATGGTACATAGAACTTGGCACGAAACTTTGCTTTTCAACTTTTGAGTCATGCTCTGTRTGTCAATGAGCAATTGTAAAGTCTTGTTTTCCCTCTCGCTTTCTTTGAAAAAAAAAGGGGACTTGGAGAACAGAGCTCAGCTCAGAGAGCCGGCCAACATTCTGATCTTCAACACATCTCGAAGAGACACAGCAGAATACCGCTGCGAGGTGGCCGCCATCGAAGATCAGAGAGACTTTGATGAGATTCTTATTAGTCTCGCAGTTAGAGGTATACACCACACGACCATAAAGGACTAAAACTTAATGCGTTGTTTAGACTTGGATCCCTGTTTTACTTTAGAAATCACACAAGTCTTTTCATATTGAAAATTCACATTTATGGTTTAAAGCAATCATTTGATACGTGTGTCAATGTCCTCTTATCCCCAAAGCGTGAAACTTAACTATTTGAAGTGGCTTGGCAACTATTTGTTGTCTTGRGACTTGCATGTAGGATAAGCAAACTGACTGAGACAAAAATCTGCAATAGTGAGCAGAAGTCCTTGTAGTTTCTCTGTTTAATAGCCAGGTTTAGTAAAGAGGGGGAAAAAATGGGATTATAAAAGATGTATAAAACTTGCTTCTAAATTACACAAATAAAAGAACACGAGTGAGGCTTCAGGAGATGCTTGCATCACAGTCAGTTACTGTACATGCAAAAAAACAACAACAACTGACATCTAAAGTTTCTGGGTAAAGTTGATGTATTTGCTACCAGCTCTTTAGTCCTTCAGCAGTGGAACCGTGTCACCTGTTGCCGGCTGATGTGACTTGTTGTTTGTGTGCAGTGAAACCTGTCGTGCCGCGGTGCAGCATCCCTGAGAGGGTCACAGTCGGGACATCGACCGAGCTGAGGTGTTTGGAGAACGAGGGCTTCCCTGCTCCTCAGTATCGCTGGTTTCACAACAGTGAAGAACTTCCTCAGGATCCCAAAAACAGCCAGAAATACACTAACTTCTCCTACACCATCAACCCCGACACCGGGAGCCTGGTAACAAAAAACCCAACCACACAMCTGCCCATAATAGCCAAATTATTACTTTTTAATTTTTTTTCAAGCTGTGGAAACTATCACATAAAAACAAGCTTATTTTTTTAAATATTTTTTGGAGGGTGGGAGATTTTAGTTTTAAAGATAGTCAGTTACACGTTATGTAATATAAACAGCTTAATCTAAATAAACCCTTACCCATCGAGTGACTAATTGCAGGATTAATCTCTCTGTGCCTCCAGTGAGAAGGCTTAACTGAACTCTGGCATATGAAAACAGCATAATGTTGCATTCAAAGTCAAGCTGGTGCATTTATGGTTAACTTAAAAAAACAGAAAACTACTGAAACCACATGAAAGCCTACAATCTGGCGGATGTCAGATAGCTGTCAATTATATTATTAAACATATTGTCCAAATGGAGATACTTTTAGAAGAGTCCCTGATCAGAATGCTATAAATCTACTTCTGTGCCGGAGCAATGATTTTTATTTTTTACTCCCCTCATAACTCTATTCTCAGAAATTTCGACGGGTGAGGAAAGACGACGCAGGCGAGTACTACTGCCAGGCGAAGAATGATGCAGGACACGCTCGGTGCCAACCACAAATGATGGAAGTCTGTAAGCGCCTCGCACGATTCTGCCGTTTTTAACTGAAGGCAGCTTGAAAAAAAGAGTTTCTTGAAAAGGGGGATGAAGGTCTTTGCAGATGTGAAGCTGTTTTCTTTGTCCCGCTGCAGGTGATGTTGACTACCTTGGAATTTTCCTGAAAGCCTTCGGTGGAGTGACTGTGTTAGTCTGTTTATTCGCGTCGATTTATTCCATCAGACGCCTGCGCTATCACCAGAAAAGTCACAGTGGCAACAAGTGAGTGCGGTCTGCATCTCTGACAGACACGTGGACGTCACAGAACTTATTCTCTGCCAGAGATTTGCATTTCAACCCGTTTTTCTTTTTCAGCTACAACTGGTCACCACGGAATGGTGCTGTTGAATACGGTGACGCAGACGAGGTAGATCAACTCAGAACATCTCATTATTAATGCACTAAATGCTCATTTTTGTTAACTTTGGTGTTTGTTTTTCACAGGGTCATTTCCGCCACAAGTCGTCATTCGTCATTTGACAGCCGACAATCCAAACAAGGCGAAAACAACCACTGCTGAGGTTAACTTGCAACAATGATCCTCATGTTAATAAAGTTGATGGTGAAACGTGGCACATTTTTCTCTCTGATGCACATACAAATCTGCTCAACTGACTTGCCAAAGTATCAAATAAAGTTGTGGCACCAAATATTTGTTCATGCCACGGACCTGTTTTCTATTTCTTCTCTTTGTACTGGTTTTTGTTAAAACATTTGTCCTTGCTTGACACTACTTTTCAGTTTTTTTAAACTCATTTTCCAACAAAATTGTATCTTACAAATGGGAGCATTTCAAAGCTGTGAAGTTTGATATTTGGCCCCTCGGTGTTATCACAAGTTACTGTAAGCTAACATCCCTCACCTGTTTTTGAACAAATCCTTTTTTTTTTATAAATTTTTTACTGAACAAAGTTGTTTTAAAAAATTGTTTACATTATATCAAAAAATACAGATTTAATGGTCTCGCATGCTAATGAGCTGAAAGGGGCATTTGTAKATATTCTGTAGATATTCAGGCAATTAGTAGCAGACTGCAAAAGGCTGAAGACATCAGACTCATAAGGCACACTTTCTCAGCCTTTACTATAGTCCAAAGTGTTAACAGGTATGTCTAAGTACAAATTATAAATTTGATTACTGTATACTATGCTGCAAGTCATTATGTCATTAAAAAAGGTGGTAACATTTGACTTATTGGAGTGCCGTTTCTGTGTATAAGTGACCTTTTGTGCTTTACTAGTTATTTTGTCAGTATTGGACATATTGTCCAGTTTGGGTTCCATATATGTATATATTTACATAATTTTTTATCTGTTTTCAACGCGTTGCACTCCATAAGTTGTTGTAAAATAGTGGAGTAAACCAGTTTGTTGGAAATAATTTTGACTTTGTTTTACTGTTAAGTGTGTTTTTGTTGTTGGATCCGTCTGTGACAACTCAGACGTGTTTAAATGTTCGGTGTGACAGTTTACGAAACGTAAAATGTTTGCTGTTCGTTTAGCTTCAAAGCTGTGTGTTATTATTTTGTTACTATTAAATRCATTTCAACTGCTGATGTTTCAGATGTTTTCTTATATCAGATTTTATTGGTGGAAATTATGCTTGGGGAACATATTKTGAAAATTGCAACTATGGAAAAACTTCCCAAGCATTCTCTGCCTTTTCCAAGCAGATTTTTTCTGTTATTGATTCGTTTGGAGCATCTGGCACCCCATGTGATGACAGTCAGGTATATCAGGCACCTGAGTGTCAGCAACCAGCAATACCCATACAGTATATTCTCCAAGATGACCATTTCCTTTAAAAAATAAAGTGGAAGTAATTTCATGTTTACAATTTATACTCACTATTTTTAGAGATAACAGTTGGAGCCTTAAATGAATCGTATATTGTAATGAGTAAATTAATTATTTGTCACCACTAAAACAGAGAAGTTGTACAGTTCAGCGGATCAGCTACACTAATATGTCACTTCCGGTTTTATTTTGGAAGACTTCCACCCGGATGTAGTTACGCAATTGGCATGTAGCGTAAGCTAACCTTACATTTTGGTCGTTTGCAAACATTTGCTGCTTTTTATCTGTCATTTCTCAAACATGTAAGATAAATTTACTTTAAGACAACTCCGTTTGCCGTMGATTATTGATTAAAGGAAATTTAATGCTGACAGTAAGTTCAGGAGAGGGGAAAAAGGGGAAACGGCTAGTTTGCTAACATACATTTTTATGCGCGTTTTCGTGTTACCATCGCTGTACTAATTTATCGTGTAAATGGACATGTAGCTAAAGTGTTTTTTTGTGATTTCTGTAAAACAACACTTGACTTTTTGTGACTAAACATATTTCTCCGTAAGGGAACTAAACTCGCATACCTTAGGCCTTCGTGTGTTTATTTTTTCGTTTGAACAGGGTCTTTAGTTTGCTAACACCAGAAGTCAAGAAGAGGACGTCATTACGATAAGATTAACTTATGCGATAAGAGGTTTTGAATTTTTTTTTTCTTTTTGAAGCTGTAGCGTTATAATGAGTTTCTTTAGTTTTGGTCAAAGTGCAGAAATCGATGTAGTCCTCAATGACGCTGAAACGAGGAAGAAGGCTGAACACAAAACCGAAGATGGAAAGAAAGACAAATACTTTCTTTTCTACGACGGTGAGACTGTCAGCGGGAAGGTGAACGTCACGCTGAAGAACCCCGGCAAGAGGCTGGAGCACCACGGCATCAAAATAGAGTTTGTTGGCCAAATAGGTGAGTTCAGACATCAGTCGGTTCTTAGTTACAAACAGAGGCGTCGTGTCCACCATTGAATTTAAATTGAACTGCCACAAACGATTATTTTAATAATCGATTAATCACAGATTATTTATTCGATTAGTCGACTAGTCAGATCATACGTTAATTGAATATAAAACATACAGCTTATCACGTCAGAATGCAGCTGCTATTATATAACC